AAAATGGCACATAAACAGGCCGAAATGCTAAAAGGACGGAGTGCTGCCGGTTGCCGTAGACATAAATGCCATTGACTCACTACCTACACTGCTGGCCGGCGGCTAAGTGGATGGCCACTGACTGAGGGGACTCCACAAACGTCCACAAAAAAGTCCGCGAACAAACAACAGCAGACAGTGACTCCAGCCACAACAACAATACGCTAAGGGAAGCGGTAGCAACAGCAATGGCTGTAGCGGAATCATCTAGCAGTGAAGCACGCAGAGGCATTCTCTGAAGGGGGCAGACCGTCCAACTTCGGAGTCAGCCCTCGGTCTCTGTGAGTCAGTGCTCACCGGCAGCTCCTCACGCCTAGAGACGGACGCTGAGCTGAGCTAGGAGCTGCTGTCAAAACAGGTTAATAGCTCATGACAAATCGTGGTTTTATTCAGTAACGTCCTTTCGTAATCACCTCTATCCTATCCTATCCTATCCTACCAAATCTTATCATCTTTCACTGCTTTGCCTTTTATCAAAAGCAGAAAAATGATTTTATCACTTTGTGATTTACTGTTGAGGTAACAACTATTGATAATGGCTGCCTCAGTAAGGGGACTATGATAGGCGCCCTTCGTCACATGTAGTTCGTCAATGGGTAACATCAATAGTACAAGTCCGATAGACAAAAGAAATCAATAAGTAAAATGGATGAAGAAAAGTCAAGTTTCATCATGCCAGTGGAAAAAGAACAGCGACTGTACATCTATCTCAGCGCCTTTATCTGCGCGCAAAAGATAAATTCGCAACGCTACCGGGGGGAGCCTACAGAGGGAAACTGAATGCAACTACATTACTGGTTCGTGTTTAACGAGCGGTGGCATTGTCATGCTTGTCCAACCATGCTGCTTACCGCGATTACTGATACGGCGGGTGAATTTGCTGAAAGAGTAGGGCTAGTAGACGGCAAAGGGAACACTTTTTCCGTTTAGCGACGTCAATGTGTTGTAGTCGTTGTTATGAAGTCAAAAGCGTGTTAGTGGTCATTTAAGCATTGTTGTTGTCAGAAGGATAGGGTTAATGGTCAGCAGTTCACTAGGGTCGGACGAGCAATATCGGGATTGACGTTTGCCTCACGTAGCCTTCTTTGGCGTTTCTAGCAAACTTGAAGGCAACGTCTATTAAGCGTTTGGTACCATTGCGATTGCTGCTGCTTGTGGGCCGCAATGCGTACCAGGCCAGATGAATCGAAGCCAGACTGAAGTTTTAGCAAGCCAAAGATGTTTTTCAGCTGAAACCACATAAGCAGTGGCTACAGTGCCCCTAATTTACCTCTCCCATGCATATACCTTCTGAACGAGTAATTTCTAGAACCTTGGTTGCGGTCGCCGATGATGCTCTACTGAAACTATTTCTAAATAGCTATGAAAAGAAGTCAGCTGACATGATCGCAGCTTGGACATAGCTTTACGGTTAATTGCGAAAAACCCCCCGTTTTTCTCTACCCTTACGTAGGCACTTACCCCCTTCCACGAGGAGTGCCTATGTAAGAGCTTTGTCTGGTATGCTTTTCTCCGCGAGAACTACCAAGGCCGCTTTAGAAAAACAAGTTACTCAGTTCCGGCTGTGTAGCCACTAAGCGGGCCGTTACATAGTGTGCGGCGCTCGAAACGCAACGCTTTTACGCAATATAATATGATAGAACAACAAATTACGTGAAAAATGTACACAAAAAACTTTCGAGGCTAGTGGCTATGCTCAGCCGGTACCTGATACTCAATGCTATTTTCTCTCTTCCCTTAAATCCAATCTGTGGGACAAAGAACACTTTTTTCAAAAGGGGTCAATAGGAGTGAGACAGTTCATAAAGACTGCTTAGTTATTATGTTTTTTTTTTTACCAGTATGTTTTTCATATGACTCCACCAGTGCAGTGGTGCTTGACGGACGTTCAACACTGCGTCGTTCGTCGCTGGTTTGACGATCAGCAACGAGCCCATCTATAAATTTGGCGTTTCATTCGACCCGTCCAGTCGGATTTTTGCAACAGAGATTTCGTTTAGCCAAGATGCACGCATGTATCTATTGGCCATCACTACTACCGTTAGTACAATCCGCATCGTTCATTAAAATGCCAATAGTTCGAAAGTACGATCACCCACTGTTTGTTCTGGCACGGTACGAGAGAACAAGTGGAAAATGATGCTGAGCAACATAGCGCCATACAGCGCAAGTCTTAATATAGTAATGCACGTAGATAAGAGCTTACGGCAATAGCTATTAGTAAACATTATAAGAGAGAATGATGACGCGCCAATCACGCTTACGGTAATTTTCGCTAGATGCGTGCAATCATAGAAATGATCTCAATGTGACAATAACAGCAGTAATGGTAGTATGGATGATAGTGCTGATAGCTTATTATTAACAGCATCAATGATTTGATACCATAGCTTTGCTGTTATTCGTCTTATCTAGCAAAACTAAAATACTATTTAAAAATGCGCTCTTGTCATTAATGTCGGTTTCCATAGTGCCGGCAGGGGCACTCGTCAAATATAGCTCACTTACGAAGTGTTAATTCGAGAAGATTAAACCCTTCAGAGTCAAACCCATCTCGAACCTATCTGGTGTTAATCGTCAATGTTAGAAATTAGCTCAGCAAAGATCATCGGCACATTTCGATATACGAATGTCCAATAGCCAGAAACTCTTCATTTATTATCGTCTAGCACCTAGAAGAGATGCTCCGAAATGACTCTGCAGAAGAAGGGTTTGCAGTGCAGTGTTTGAATTCGGTTACAGTATATGTATTTATTCTGTGAGAAGGCGTTGGTTAGTAATTATGTCCTTATACGGTACTGGTGCGGAGCGATCAGTGACGTAATTTCCGTGCAAGGACCCTGTTGGAATAACCGGGACGCAAATTCATTAATGTAATACTTTTACATATGCTTCGTCAGAAAGAAAACAGTTACATTGGATAGCACAATGATTAGAGAGTGCATATTCCGCAACAGATACTGATATTGATGGTACAGATTTAAGTCGAAGTATCCTAGCTAGTCATAAATGCTACTTCGTCAATAGACACTATATTAAGATACTCACTATGCCCCAAAAACGAAAGAATAAATAAACATCTTTAAGTAAATATCTACCGGGGGCGATCTCCATATAAATAGCTGAATTATTTGCACGTCTATAGTGAATACAGTTTTTTTTTGATCGTGTCGTTCTAGTAAACGTTGAGTTTCCGATAATGATGGAATGACCTAGACATTGAATCCAGCAGGTCGCTGACATCGCATTGAAGGACTGTGGTATTTTTTTTTGAGATACCTTGCTTTAAACATAGTTGTTAAAGTTAATTCACTGTTAAATGATCGCCTTCTTCTTGTAATCTTTGTGTTGTCAGCCACCAAGGAGGTCACTCAACCCAGTCTCATCTTTATCTGAAAAGAATGTACTATTGTAGGTCAGTATAATCCTAGCTGGTTTCAAGCATTTAGACGTTTTTCGATATCCCTTCAGGACCAGCTTTTCGCCGCAAAAATCTATGAACATATGAAGTTAGTTGCACTCTTTTTTTGCTCTCTTCGATAAGGCCCAGTCATAATGCACATGGTAGATCTATTTAAATTCAAAGTACATTGAAAGATATTGCGTAGTCACTGGTGACGGTGGGGTAAGTAAGTCAGATGCGGCTCCAGTCAGGAAAGAGTATAGTCTACCAGGTCGGTTTTAATATTTCTTCAAAATCATGAGGTGACATTTATTTAGGAGACATCTGAAATTTATTAGACATATTTTCCGTCGACAACAACTGATTTTTTGTCGTAAACTACAAGTTATAAATTTCGTTATTTCCCTTCTGTTGTTCTCCCTTAGTACTGCTTACATCAGCAGAATGAGCGACACTCACAGGATTTCATGTAAATCCAATCAACGTTTTCAGTTGAAACTGTGTAATTCTTTGTAAATGTATGTCTTTTTTTTTTTTTTTTTCACTAAAAATAAGCTCTTATATTCCATACGTAGGGATTTAACAAATCACGTGCCTCTGATCATAACCCGAGATACTAGCTTAACTCAAACGATTACTTATACATTGGCAATTATCATAAACTGATCGTGCGCAAAAATCCGGAATGCATCGGATCAGTAGATCATTTTTGCTCGAACGCCATTAAGCGTTTGCTAAAGCTGAGACGGTGGATTTACAAACGCATTCCGTTTAGAGTAAAACAATCCCGAATTTACTGTTCTCGGTTAAATCGAATACCCAACCATAAACAGCATCTGCTAACAATCCAAGTTAGCACCAAAGGGGTTCGTGTGCAGTTACTTTTAACTTGGTCATCACCGCCTATAAAGCGGTTTTTTTTTTTTTTTTTCAGCTTTTTGTATTGCGGTTCGTTCAGATGTTTACCTTGAAGGGTGATGTAATAATAATAATAACACTGTTGGGAACAAACACATTCGCCTTAAGAAGCGGCAGTTTAGTATAATGCATTATCGTTCCGTAATGTTTTTCTTACCTTAACTTTTGCAGGTGCCATTAAAGAGAATCGGGATCGAGTGACTATAGTTTTTTAATGTATGTAACTGAAATTATTCATAATCGCTCCGAATGAGTGGGCATAGGGCGCCTTTGCTTGTAGGCCCTCCGAACTATCTTCTCGAAGAATTTCTAAACATGAAAATAAGTTCTGCGAGACGTAAGTTTTTCGGTGTAGAGTTTTTTTTTCATTCGCGAAACCTATCTAATAAAAATAATAAAAAACGATCTTGTTTTTTTCAATTAGTGAACAAAAAAAAGTGTCGTCCCCCGCCATGACAATGCCAAACGAAATACCTGGAGAGCACTTAAACATAGAGTCTGACTATTCTTGATAGCGCGAATCGGCATCATCAGACAATCATATATTTCGGTCTTTGCATTTAATTTTAATGGAGAGATGCAAAAATCACTTGTCAAAATTTTTTTTGCCCAGAAACTAGGGGCTACGATGTAGCTAAGCAATGAAGAAAAGCTATTGATCGAAATTGTGCACATTTAATTTTTTTTATAGTATAAAAATATTGGTTTCAATTGTGGCTTAAAAAGAAAACACTTTTCTGGTAGTCCAGTGTGTATTGGTGGTCCAGTGGACAATGCTGATCTGCTTGGGTCAATATACGACAGGGTTTCTACTTTGTTGTTCAATCTTGCTCCGATTGCATCTTAACATTCTGAAGTATGTGTCGCGTCATTTCCACTAGGAACACGGATAATTCATAGATAGTTTACACAAGAAATTCATAAGTGAAGAAGAGTCTGCAGTATAATAAGGTTCGCTTACTGGTTATATGAAATGCTGAGGCGTACCAAATTGGATTTAACCCATTTTTGCCGGCTATCTTGCTACTCATGGGCAGTAACTTTGAAAATTCACCAGTTCCCAATTGCTTATACACGTATACACTTGAAAATCGGTAAATTTTCCGTTTTTTTTTTTTTTTTTTTAACATACCGTCGTTGACTCCATATTGCAAATACAGTATAGTTGTATAGCTGTGCACTATCGCTGGTTCAACTGGAAACAAGATAGACTGTCTTTGTTAATTTTTACTTGCAAGAAGTGCGTGCAGCTATCTCCATATGACTTTATTTCGCTTTATGAAGCATATAGTCGAAAATATGCTGTCAACACCGTAACTGACTGACGCCTCTCCGTCCCGTTTTTCAGTCTAATTTCAAGGGATGTAGAACGTTGGCAACAATATATCCAGCATGATAGATAAAACGTTACTGGTCCCACAGGCGATTAACAACTGCGGCGTTATCACAGTTTAGGCTACTATCAATTAAAAATTAAGTGAACTGCTAAAAAGGCAAAGAAAATATTTCTTCCTATGATGGGTTCGTACGTGCAGAAATCACTATGTTCATTTAACAACAGACTACATATCTCGCCAACATAAACTAATAACCCTTAATTATCTACCTCAACTAAATATCTACTTTTAAATGTCTAGTACATTTTCAAATTCTCTGTTTTTTCCCTAGTCCGTGATGATGAACAAGTTTACCGGCAAAACAACTTTATTATTGCCCTCGTCATCGTGTTCGCATAATCTGATCCATTCGGATTTTTTTGCCCCTGTTCACACATGGCCACCTGCTTGATGCTGTAGCTATTTCTATCCGCTCTTCAGTCCATTCTTCGGGCTTTCGACTAAATTTTGTATTATCGGCATTGCTTCCGTTCACTTCCTAGCTAATTTGCGACTGTTCCTCATCGTGTTTCGCCTCATCGCGACTGTCGCCTGCCGTGTTGCAGTTCGAGTAGCAGCAATATCCCAACTTGCGAATTGCTCCGCCACTGCAAAATCTTCCTCCCGTGGGGTGTTAAACAACGTTTATTCAGAATCCTCCCGATTGTCATCGTCGCCAACGCCGTCACCTCTGCCACCGCTACCGCCATCTTCTCGTAGCCCCCAGAGCCCCGTTATCCGCATTGCTTTCTACACTTCGTATATGCTCGCTCCAGCGTTTCCCAGCCCCACTGCCGGCACTGACAGCGATAGTCAGCTTATGATCTCGCGCACCATATTTTGCTGTAGCGCACCATGTCACGGTGCTCAGATCGTCCGATGGATAACGGCGGAGAGAGAAAGGTGCACAGCGGCGTGGCTCTAACTGTTGTTATACAGTCGCCGTAATGTCTATTACAGCAGACCTGCGTTGTTACGCTGTTAACGAAAAAGGTTCATTTTGACGGCGAAGGTTCACTGTCGACATTGTCGACGTTCACGGCTTTGTCGTGAGAGAGAAAGAAGGGGCTTTTGGATCGAAAATATTTTTTTTCGTTCTCCTCTTTCCCTCTGTATATACGTTCTCCTTTCCCACTACATTTCCTCTCAAACCTTTCGTTCTTCCTTCTCTTCTCTTCTGTCGTGGCGCCAACTAGCGCATGACCACTAGCTGGCTGACGTACGGCTTTTTTGCTTTTTAGGCCCTTAGTTTCGTTATACAATCTTCCCTCTAATTGTTGTTGATGGTAAGCGGGAGCAGCGCTGAGTGGTGGCGTCCCGGCCCTCGCCAACGTGAGGCACTCGCCCCTCGGCACTCGAACGAAGGGCCAACTGCGGCCAGCCATCGTGCCTCTGCTATCGTTGACCGTTCTTAATGGGTCCTTCTTTCTCCTTCTCCTTTGTCGATAAAGGCTCACGTGAGCCCATAAGGCGAGACAGTCGGCGTTGTCACCCAGACGAGTTCCTGTACTTCTCGTCGTTCTCGGGTTTTTGTGCCCTCATCATCGTTGCAGCATTTTTTGTCGTGGCGATGGTAATACTGGTTGTGTCTTCATTTTAGAAGTGCCCTCGTGAGTGGTAAAATAAACTTTAATAGAAATAGTGGCAGGTCTATTATTAGCTGTGTGTCGCGACCTTCCACTCCATTGATCATACTGTTCCTGTATCGCCGGCTGCGTTCGTGCTACCACCATGGCCGTACGCGGCCTCTTTTTTTGGTGTATATCCCCAGTGCTTTTTGTGCTGTGCTCGGTGTGTTTAAGCAGTTTGGTTGTGGAGGCAAAGGATGCTCTTAAAACACAGGGTGGAAGCTGGAAGCCTATTGTGACGGATCCGAAGACAGGAAAAGATGTAGCGATCAAAGTTACCGAAAAAGAGGTGCTCACTAAGACGCCACCAAAGGGTATTGATCCTAAGAAAATTAGTACAGATGTTAAGACGGATCGTTCTGGGCGAGTGTTAGCAGAGCAGGGCAACAGCGCCTCAAACGCGTTTTATGTATGGCTTCCTACGGATATCCTCAATATGGACAATCGTCCACAACAATTACATAGATCCCAAGGTGCAAGTAACTTCCGAAGACCTCAGGGTGGACCCTCGTTCAATCATCATAACCCAAGCAATTTCGGTCCCCAGCAAGGTAATCACGGCAGCTTTGGTCTTCAAGGTCATTCACGCAGGCCACTACCTGGACCCTCTCCCCAGCAATTCGTTCCGCCAAGTTCAAATCGGCACAATCCAAACTATTTGCCGGATCAAGGTGCTGACGTACAGCCCGGAGGCGTTCGTATCTACAGTGGATTCCGACCGATTCCCAATCCGCAAAGTTATAACCGTCCTCAACCAGCCTATCAGCCGCCACCCGGAGCCGCACCAAATCCCGTTCAACATCATCAGTCGCTTCAACAAGGACCCCAGATATACATACCTCAACAAGAAATTCCGCGACCAAACCCTCAAAGCTACCATGGACCTCGCGCAGAAAACGGCCATCAGTATCATCATCCACCTGTTCCTCAGCAATATCACTCACCCCCGCTGCAGCAGTATCACGCACCTCCCCAGCCAGCTGTTAACCAGCCGCCTGTAAAAGCTCCAGGTAGCAGCGGATATGGCGCTTCCGACCTTGATGATGATGACCTTCCGGAACCGGGCTACGGAGCCGCCCCACGGCCTCAACAACCGCCAGCACCAGCGCCATCTCAACCCAGTTACGGAAATTCACATCGCCCACCAACGCCAGAATACAATCAGCAGCCTCAACCACAGTTTGGCCTCGCAGCTCCACCTCCGCCTCCGCCACAATCTGAACGTGGTTACGGCACCCCTGCCCGCCGACCTTCGTCATACGGTCAACCTCCTTCAGCTCCTCAGTTCCATTCTCCTGTACCGGCTCCTCAGCCCCAATTGCGCCCATCGTCGCAGCCACAGTTCAAAGCACACGACGCCACTCCACGTCCGGTAGGCATCGTTTCGGCGCGCCCACAGTCTCCACCGTATAACCATGCTCAATCCCCAATTCAACCACAGCCGCCCCAGCAAGTACCTCCGCATTATAAGCCTGTGAACGCTGCGCCAGTACAGAGGCCACCTGCAGGCAATGGGGGCTATGGACGACCTGAGCCATTCGAAGAAGACGACTACCCTGTAACGAGACCAGTTACCATAGCGCCCTCTACAGAATATTATCCAGGTAAATATCTATTATCCTACTGAGTAGCGCAAAATGTTACTAATTATAGCACATTTGTTAGATAGTACGAAAAGAGGTGCGAGTGCGCCTCGATAAATATGCCATTATTCTATGATACCCTGATCACCAAAGGCTAAATCGGCCGCTAACGCAGAAACATTCAAAACTTTCAAGGAGACGGGCGATGTCCATCCATCATTCTAGAGTTATCCTCATCGATTGCCATTAATTATCGCCTTGATCACTAGCATCAAAGAACAGTAGTTTTTTCCTAACAATAATCCTTTCATGTACGTGCATGGTCCACTTTTGGTTGACCAAGACCATCTTCCTAGGAGGTCTTTCGATTACCAAGTTTTGCTCTGCTTCGCTGCCATGTTTAATTATAATCAAATATAGCTATGTAAAGACACGCAAAGGCGCGCCTCTCTCAAATAACGACGTTGCTATTGTTCTTGCCCCTTTCTTTACAAAGCAGCTATATCAGCCGTATTCTGTTGATTCTAGCTTCCGATCCTCTGAAACTCGGATCAGAGCAGCCCTTTGGCAGATCATGGTAACAAGCTCGTTGACCCATCATTTAACCAGTTAATTTTAATCAGTTAATAGAAAACAATTTCTGGGCACCAGCAGTGTTAATCGATGGTTCTGCATATTCAAACTCTACAATTGTGCTTCGTTAATCGTTGATGGTTAGTGCCGACGCGACTGTTGTTAAAAAAAACCTAGCCAAGAAAACAATTGAGCAAAAAGAAAGGGCATACTGGTGCCATAGCGCTGAATGAGCCAGTTAGTTAGAACTAAGGGGCGAAATGAATGTCCGTATCTATCATTACGAGTATAATACCCTGCGACTGATACAAAATACAAACAACAAAAACAGTAATAAAAAAAAATGATAGCTCCGAGAAAAACGAATTTGGCAACGCACAGTCGCTGAAAAAGCACAAGATGAGCCTCAGTTCTCTATTACGTTATATAGATGCAAACGACTGAAAGAGTTCTAAGTTGAGAATTTGCGTTCCGCGCCAATCTGTTATATAGAACAGTGTGTGTCTAGAGTTAATTAAGTGTCGACGGCTAGCTCCGTAATGGTCGATCTTGTTAATCCGTGATGTTCTCTAGAAGACTCGGGTTTCGAGACTGCTGGTCAAAATGAAAACTTTGTGCATTTTATTAATTAAAATAGGACAATGCAGAAAAATTTCAATTACTTATGTCTACTCTAAGCTGAGACGATAATGGTTTCACAAAATACGTGCTAACCAATGATACCTTATTCCGATCCGCCACTGATACCACAGAATACCTGCTCGCCTTGAACTTTTCATCCTAATACGTTGCCCTATGCCTTACACTAGAGATAATATTTATATTACAATATAATCAAATAAAACAACAATTCTGTAGCAATCTAGAACTGTCACGGCGTCGAAAAAAACGTTTCTAGGACCATCGTTGAGCCATAATGAGCTCTGAAATAGGTGCAACGGTTGTACGTGAGCCGAGTGGCTCGTTAACGATGAGTCGAAACGTAATAATTGATTAGATATATAGACTTCTAAAAAGAGTTGAGCACTATGATACGTACGAACTGTTTGTATTGGTTAATAAAAGCGTTGCAGGGACTACGCCAAGCGGTCCGTCTAGTCATTTTCTAATAGCCGTGGAAGAAACCCATGAAACCTAAGTGATACACGATCGTTATGATTCTTGCAGACGATCACACTTTGGAACTACTAATTCTTCCTGGAACTTTTATATTCAAAACGAACATTGCTGGGGTAACCCTTGTCCAAATCTTAATGTTTAGCGGCAAACATAATGTATTTACAAAGTTTGTCTTTTTTATGATGAATTTAGATGGTTACGTTTGCTAGCCAGAAAGATTATGTCTGGTGGAAGTTTGTAGAATGATAGAACCACAAAGCTGCCGTTAACGTTGCTATTTTATCATCAGTTGAGCATCACTATAAATTTGTCACATGCTCATGTAGTACGGTAAGACGGCTTTGAATAAAATCAAAGGTGATCGCGTTCACACGAGTGTACATTTATGCTGTGCAAATCTGAGTTTAACCTTTGACATCGCATTTCCTTCAGGCACCGTGTCACCCGGAGGTCATCAGGCCACAGCAGCTGAAGAGGCCGGTGTTGGAGTCATCGAGCCACGTTCGGCTGCCACCTGTGCAGCGACTTCGAGACCAACCGTGCGAAGTACCTCATCTCTTCGCGAAATCGCTAGTGAGCTTCGGGCCGATCTTATTTTCAACGAATTCGGTGTTTCCGACACTGATATTTTGTCTGCAGCAAATCAAGACGGTAAGTGACTCGCTGGTTAATGAATATATATAAGTTGTTAATTACCTAACTAAGATACTCTATTATGCTTTGTTGGCAACAATGCTAGAAGATTACGATGCCGAACGACTCTCTCATTTTAAAAAGAGCTTCTTCAAAGGAACTAAATTGTCTGATACCACCTTCTGCTGAAAAGATGAGCGAGTTTCCCAGTTTGCAATTATGAATATGCACTCGTCTATCGAGTGAGAAGCTAGAAGTTCACATTGTAGCGGATTAAGGATCGGGCACTTGACTTCAATTCTTGCTGCCCGAAGCTCGTCGGCATGATGTAGTTAATATTATATATTAACAGAGAGGAACACAATTTAGGCGCGGCCAGATATAAAAAAGAAAAACCCATTTCATGTATCAGGCAGCGCTAATGCTTATTTGTACCGATGTGTTGATACACATGTGGAGCGCTACGTATATGGCAACCTCGCAGTCATCGGTCATCGACCGAACACCTTCACCTAATCTAAGAAAATTCTCTGCCTGACGCCTGCCATCACTGGACATTAGTGTTTGAAGACTTTCAATAGCTATTTTCTAACACTGATCGTTACGTTACAAACGTAGAAAGTACGCCAAATAATAAGAAAATCCGTCGTAAGCGCCAATTCTCTATTTACTTTACCCTATTATATTATTATGGGCCTCAACGAGCCGATCCCGTAGTCCGATAGCACACCCGCAGCGTGAACAAGCTGCCAGTGTACTACGCCCGGCCCTGCTAATGCATTTGTAAATTTCTCATTGTATCGCTATGTAGGCGGGCGTATACGACCTTCTAATGAGGGTTTGCCATTGCGGGAGTTAGCTCAGGTCGGTTCTATATAATATTGTTTCAACTATCGTCAGAGACAATGTCATAAATAAGAAGCAGACAATTTGCAATGTTCATCAAATAGTAACATTAATAAGGAATACATGCATCAAACGTCCATAAAGGCGTAGAACTGTCACAGAGCGATATTCCCCATTGGAGAACGGGAATTAATGAGACGGCGCTGATCAGAATTGTTCACTTTTCAGGTATACAATGACAATTTCACATAAGTTCTACACAAGATTATTACACGACGAAATGATAAAAACAAAAGAAAAACGCTTTCAAATTTAACTTAATCGCGAATTTCTGTTAGAACAGCCTAAATGCTCATAATTATTTCGCGCAGTGCACTGTACAAATAAGCGTTAAGAAATCAGCTAAGAAGAATAAAAATTCATTCCGCCCAGACAGGGGCTCGAACCCTGGACCGTTAGGTTAAAAGCCTAACGCTCTACCGACTGAGCTATCTGGGCGATGCGGTAGCCCCCCTATCGAATTCACAAGAAAGGTCACAGGGCATATTAGTGAAGTACATAGACGGAACTGACCGTTGTGTGTCCAGCTGTTTTTGCGTGCATAGTGTTTGCCTGCGTACGAGATTTATTGCAGTAGCTAGACGGTGTGTACGTTTAACCGAATGTAACATGTTTGGTTCGCATAGAGACGAGCCACTCCATTTGTAGCGTGTAGTACATATCACTAAGCACTCCATAGGCAGCCCCTCTAAATAACTAACTGCCCGGTTTTGAGTTGGCGCGACGCTCTCTACATGCGGTCGGCTGAGTAACGAACCACTTAGGGCTTTGTAGTGGCGGTGATGCCGCCACAGCTGGAGGCAGTCAGCCAAACGTTAACCGGTCATTCAATAGGAGAGACGCTACCTGACGATCGTCCATTTAGCGACGTTTTGGTACACTTAAGAGTTATCTAAATCCGTTGGCGTGCTCTGCCCGCGAAGCGGCTTCATATTGTGAGCGAAACAAGACGAAAGCAACATGAACCATATAGTGATGTATTATATCACCGTCAGAGAACTGTGAGGCGTAAAGGCGAAGAGGTTCGGTAGATGCCATATGAAAACAAGTCGTTAAGAGGCCGGCGTTCGTGCCTGGTGTACATGATCTGATTGCTCTGAGGGAGCATTCAAAGCAAAATATGATTTGTTTATATAAAAATAATTCTTAATTCGCATAAAAAATATATTAACACTTTTTTGGATTGGCTGTTATCTATGTATATTTAGTAGCCTCTATCATTTTAGCCTTAGCTGACCAGATTACTAATCGAGTGAGCTCTTTCTAGCATTTAACACGTATACCATTAAAGTGAACCTGACCTTAAAGTGGAGTCGTGAACAGTTGTTACGCAAATATTGCAATGGCAGTTTTTTTTTTCTCTCTCATTTGGACTATCTGTCTTCGACTCTATCATTCGTCTCGCAAGACCCTGATTTGGCGAGCCGTACCGTAGAAGCTTGCTGCCGCATATTCATATTGTCAGCTTTCTGCTATGGGAAGATAGGCCATAATGCCTCGTCCGCATGCTCTGTCATTGAATAACAACGCCATCTTCGATATGGCTCAAACGACAAAAGTAACTTTGGCTCTACAGCGAACATCAGGTGAAATTTAGTTTGTTCACGCTGGAACAATCGTTGGACATCGGCGATGGTGTTATATGTTGTTTTGACTATCGGTCAATGACTGTCGTTATAAGGAAAGCAGTGTTACTTACCTCAGAGAAGAACTAGTCAGATACTTTTCCTACACATTGAATAGCTTTATTGGTCTCCTCCGGTCGGCGTCACAGTGTTCCCTCCACGCTCAGTCCGGGTAATGCCACTCAAATTCGTGATTAGAATCGAACGACAAAACGACGAAACATTGTGTTTGCTTCGATCCCTAATAACTTCAGAGCAAGCATCTTATGGTGATGGCTAAAGACAGGGCCGATTCTGCCACTGCTGCCCAGCAGCTTAACGGCGCTTCAACTAATAGCTACGTTGAGCGAGCTGGTTTCGTGTCCCTCTCGTAGTCTTCAACCAGGCCTATGTCAGTCTTGTTACTTTGGTAACAGCAGAAGCGCCCCAAAGAAGTGTCGTTTCGGTTGTTGTTGTTTGACTCTGTTGTTACTTTGGCCTCAATCGGTCCAAATTATCGGTTTCATCACATCCTACAGAGTCACCGTTGCCGACGGAAGAGGTAGTACGCGATCGCTTTGATGGCTGCTACGTCATCAAAGTGGGCCGCTCCTTTCTGGCGCGTTTTACTATATCAAGTGTTGCCTTCTTGCTCTCGCACGTTAGAAGGAGTGACGCGTAAAGAGAAACGTGGACAAAAAGGCTTTATCAGGCCGCAAAAAGAAAGCACTAGAACTCCGCAAATGTTGTTACATATCTAGAAAATAATAAAGATATTAATAATAACAATAGCAGTTATCTAGATTTATTAGAGTGCACCTTTTTTTTTTAAGTTAACTTAAATGATAAACGAAACTGCCGCTTGCCTAAAGTATTTAAGATTAAGAGTGATCAATGCTAAGGTATGCGTCCTTTCTGCTCTATACGTTGAAAACAGGCCAATACACGATTTTCCTGCCGGCAAACGAGGCTCGACTGTTCACCAATCCTGAACTGCTAGCGTATTGGCGTCAGGATCGCGATTCGCTGATGCGAACTCTGACGAACCACCTGGTAGCCGGACAAATTTCTCTGGATCAACTTCGCAAAGGAGGATCGTATGTCAGCCGAACCGGCCAGAATGCCGTACTCAATGCACGTGGACATGATGATGGAGTAAGCTACCTTCAAAGTTTATCGCCAACCATATTATATTGATTTTAGTTCTTTTTATTTAGATAATATTTCGCCCTATCTGGCCTTCGATCTTCACCCTTGGAGGTAGCCAATAATCGAAACATATAGAGGCCATTCTTAAGCTTGACCTGTTTTTCAACTGCTGTTGGAGATTGGGCCGCAAACTTTTAAATTACTCAGGCGTCGTTGCTTAGAGCTTCGTCAGCGACACATACTACACAACTCTTGGGAATAATGCAGGAAATAAGGTAAAACCTTGAAACTTACAGATCCAAAGCAGGGTACTTCTTTTTTCTTTGCCTAGATTTGACGTGTATCAGATGATTCCAAAAACCGTATTATCTGTGGGAAATTATTTTTCTGTAATCAAGGTTGGGACCTGAACTACTGTCGTCTCAACGCTGATTCAAAAACGTTTTACGTCTGTATAGATTCTAGCCCAAATTTGCAATCGACACGTGCTGCACTTATCTAACTTACAACTTGTGGTGTTTTTACATCATTAAGACTCCCCTACATACGAATTTCGAAAGATCTCTATTCATCTTCGTCACAAATCTACTCTTTTCCGACACATTCAAGTTCTACATTTCATCTCTGCTCCATGTCTAGTTGAATTTTTGCTACCAAGCTAACTGCATGTAATATTCATCTATACTTTTGGCTCATATTTATCCTCTTTCATTTAAATTCGCCAGATCACGATCAGTTTTTAATGGTTTCATTTCATTCAGCTTTTGTTGTTTACCTTGTCTAATACTTTTTATGTACATATTTATCTATGTGCATAGATTGTGCGTGGATAATAAGCAGGTTTCGTTTGCAGTATTTATTGACAGATTATATATTTGCCGCTGTAGATATATATATATATATATATAGAGAGAGAGAGAGAGAGAGAGAGAGAGAGACGGGGTAATACACAGTTATACCCATTCGATGTACCTGTTGTCATCAAGGCTTACCGCTCAGCTGACCGATCCGTACTAGACGGTGGCGTATTCAGCCTTGGCGATGACTATAATGGTTGCATTGAGCTCTGAACTTGGAACCGGTGTTTTTACCAAATATTGTTGACGCATTGTACGAGAGAACGAATAGAAGCTAATCTCGAGAGAAGGAAAGCGCCAAGTGTGGTTATAGGACTGGATTTAAGTGTACAAATATCTTAATCAGTAAATGGCTATCGCAGCGCATGACGACAACGAGACTGAGGACTCCGTTACCACTAATAGCTACGATCCAAACGCTGACGAGTTGATTGATTCGAAAATGCGTCTGGACGGATGGCCAGAGTGAAAATGACACACAGACAAGTATGTGTGTTTCTTTCTTTTGGTTATTACTGCAGCTGCCGCTGCTGTTGTGGCTGGCGATGGTGATATGTTCAGATTTATTTTCGCTCTTGGAACAGTTCAATCGGAGGAGTAGGTGGACTGAGAAAAATTGGCAAACCAACACGCTGTAAAGGCGCGAGATTGTCGTTGTTGTTGCTGCTGCTGCTGCTGCTGCTACTCCTGCTACTGCCGTCAACACCTCTGATCATCTGCTGACGGTAGGGTTCACGAGGTAATTCCTTTGGGCTACTGCGTGGGGTAGCTGGCTTTAAAAAACGACTTTCGCATACGCCGCTGTCATCATCTCACGTTGGGTTTTTCGGTATTCTTCGCGTTCCTTCTGTAGACTTTTCGGTAGCACTGCCACGGTTGGTCGTTACCGTTGACGTTGTCGAGTCATAGCTAAGAACTGAATCGAGCTGAGAAAAAGCGGTGCTTATAATAAATATGCTCCATCAGATTTGACAACAGCTCCACTGACTGTGTGAACCTATTCGATGCCATATCCGTCTAAGCACAATGTTAGCTAGAGCATCGTGATATCGTTTTTGTGCTTGCTAATATTGACCGAAACAACATCATCATCATCATCATCATTTTCAGAGCTGCTCCTTGTTCTATGCGAGTAAGCTATCCGGATCCGTTATTGTTCACGTTGCTATCTCTGGTAAACACACACACACACACACACACTCCACACACACACACACACACACACACACACACACACACACACACACACACACACACACACACACACACACACACACACACACACACACACACACACACACACACACACACACACACACACACACACACGTCTTCATCGAATGTATCCAGTACTCGTTTTGTTAGAAACATCTATTTATTTGTCTATTTTTCTTCTCCTTTTAAAGGTTTATCATTTAGTCATTAGACGAACTTCACTGCGGATTTACCACTGGCATGACGGGAGCCCTCAAGACGCTGAACAGTCACTAGTGTTCAGTCATTTTAACAGCAAGGTCTTTGTTAAGATGTTAAAAATGAAAATACTTATACGCGATCCTTGAGAAAATTCAGTTACTTCCGGCAGGAGCTTGCGTTAATGTCATCGTTACTATCAAATTGGTGAGTGTGGTTTCTTGGAAAATACGCTTGATCCTAAAGAAAATGAAAGCGTAGAACGTATTCCTTCGTACGATTTCACTTTCTAACCATTCTACATTGCTCGACACGCGTATATCAACCTGTCGAGCGTTGCAAAAGGAAATGAAAATTCGACCAACGTTGCGTGGCTCATTGTGACGTATACCCTTAGTTATAATTACTTGGTAATATTCTAGCTATATGCGACAAAAAGATGACCAGAGACGGAAGTGTATAATAATGTTAAGGAAAGAAGCGCTAGGTGATCTGGAAATAGTCAGTGGCTTGGCTCGTTTTTTCGGCAACGCCTACTGAAATGGTGCGCTGTCCAGCATACAACGCATGGCTTTTAGGGCAGTCCGAGCAAACGGGATGCTCCTGCCGCTTCCCGCTATAGAATTGTGATACCGTTTTTCTGCCTTCTGTTGTTGAATAGGATTTGCTTTGTACGAACGCCACGCCTTGGTTAGTTGAGTGTGTAGACGTTGGAATAACAACAGTAATTGTTATTGCTACCATTTTACAAAAGTCGTCTCGTAACCTTACAGCGACAACGGTTGAAATGCCCTCCCGCACTCGCGGTGTCTGTTTGGCGATTGCACTTATTCAGCTGGCGATCGCGCATATAATAATCGTCTGCCATAGACACGTCCATTAAGCAGAAGTAGCCACCCATTACGACACATAGGGCAAGGGCTTTGAGATGTGGCAGTTCTTATCTGCCCTGTATATCGTAAATAGCTTTATTATATAGGTGCCTTTTCAAGTACGTATTCAGTTGAAGGAAAGAAGTAGTGGTCAAGCCAACTCGTTGGCTAATTCTAGAGCTCGATTATGCTTGACGGGTGCACACATTTATACCAAGCATGCGTCGGGCCTTTTTTTTAAAGGTCAAGCGAAGTCGTCTGTTCCATAAGCTGAACGACTCAGTGGCCTTCGTTTCGTTCAATCGTCTGATGTACGTCTCATTCCGTCGCATCTATGTGTCTCATCGGTATGTCGACACTCATCACATACACTGGTGATTTGTCATCTTTAAACTATAAAATTAAATATGGGGTGAATGCAATCCGCATTTACAATATAAACCCTTAATCATCGTGAGACTAATCAATTCAACGACAAAGTTTGTTATTAACGATATGAAACACAGGGAAAACGACGTCGGTCTATGTTCGATTTATATATTGATGAAGTAGGTCTTTGCTTCATCAGTAACAAACTAAATGCAAAACGTGCCGAGCGGTTATGCGCTCGCATATTATCTATTTACTCGATAATCACAATTCAAACGTCAAGCAAATAAACATTGTTTACAAAAAAAAAAGCGAGATTTTAGTTTGTCTCACAAGATACCCATTTGGAAACGTTCACGTACGGGCTTTGGTGTGCGCATTCAGACCTCTTCAATCCAGAAAGCGTGACGCCAAGATTTTTCCTGGATTTTTCCATGCATCGTCGAAATTCCACATTTGAGCACCTGAAAATGGTCCGAGGAACGAATGTTCGCCAGGTTATAGTTTCACTACGGAAGTGCGACATAATTGTCGTTTACTTATCGATACATCGTGATTTCGATAGAGGATTCTTGTAAAGTATGAAAATTTCCGCACGCATACACTTGGACTAACGGCAATAGCTATGTTTTAAGCAGGTAGCTAAGACTAAGCATTAAGCCACTACGCAGAGCAAGCTTCAAAGCTATCGCACTCTCATCTACTACACTATAGACGCTAGTTTATGCATGAAGATGAGCTAGGTGTAAGAACAATCAATAACAATACGATCAGATATTGAACGCCGACAGAAGCTGCGTGGTGGTCAACCGCGATCGCGTCCACTAGTACAACCTACCTATGTCCCGTGACAAACAAAGCTCATATCGGGAATAAATATTGGCAGACATAGGCATCAAAAACATCGAATGCCTGTGGGGCAGTGACGATGGCAACTGACTTGCCTATGTCGTTAGTGGGGCCATACGTACGTGCTCTGTTTCAGGCGCAAATGGTGCCAAAACGCCTGTGGATTACTTACGATGATGGATACCTTACGTAACCAGTCACGAAAGCTTTCAGCCACACAAGTATAAGCTCTGGTTTATCGTTACCTTCAGCTCACCACCCTCCGGTTTTTACAGATCCAAAAACGGCATTTCTCGCCAGCTTTTGTTGATGCCCCTGAGTCGAAGAGTAACATTAGCAAACGCCGCCAACATCGTTGATGCCGTCAGTGACCGCGGATGGACTCAGGCAGCATCTCTTTCGAGCGCTTCCCAGCTCGCTATCCTCCGGGCCATCTCACATACGAACTTCAGTGTGCCTTGCTTACTCAGATCTTTATCCTAAGGGAAGTAGGACGAAAAGAAGAAGGCAAGGAAGATCTACCGCGTAGATTCGGCCCTTCATACCTCTGGCGTTTTCGATCGCCAAGAATGAGCATTAGGCCGGTAATTTAACGAGAAAAGGAGCTATTCAAGGGGGGACGATCGTGGCAGAGATCCGAGAACAT